TGACTTTTTCTTGGAAGTCAAGAAGAAATAACCTAGTCATTGCATATATATATATAAACATTCTTGTATCTATATTTTTGCCCTGTCAAAAATCTCAAACCGCAGCCCCCATCGATCTCTCTTTCTCTCTCGATATTGTTCGTCTGTTTTCTCGTTAATCCCCCAAACGCAGCATTACCATCGTTGATCGCCGCCATTCACCATGTTCTTTCCGTCATCACCATCAACCCGCGACCAGTTTTGCAGCGCCCCTCCGCGAGGCTTTCCCGGCGATCCTCTGCCACGCCGTGAAATTTGCAGCGCCTCGTGATCAGCATCACCAAATCGCAGCAGGCCTTCTTCCTGTCGGGCCATCACCATCATCGTTTCATCTGCACCATCTTAATTCATCGTCGTCGGTCATCATCCCTCCTCTCCATCTCCATCATCTTCCCAGCAAGCATGAGTCCAGCGAACCAGTACCATCGCCGACCGCCATCACGCTGCCGTACTTCGGGCCTTCCATCACCGGCGTATTCTCGAGTTCCGCGTGATCCTGTTGTCCCTCCAAGCGACCACCTCTGACCGGCGAGAACACCAGCAGACAACCATCAAACTGCCCTCCTCTGTCAGCGTTCAACTTCGGCTTTCGGGACCCGTCGAGTTCCGTCGAAGAGCCTATCGTGATCGTCGAGTTCCGTCGGGTTCCGTCGGAGCGTTAAACGAAGCCGACAAGTTCCGGACGCCGAGCCGCCATTGTCGCCACCTTCACCCACGTCCTTCCCAATTACGCAGTAGCGTCCGACGACCTTTTTGTTGTTGTTCCAGTTGTGTTGGTACCGTTCAGCGTCCAAGCCATTGTTCTCGGTCCCGTGTTGCAGCTCGACGCCCCACGCGTGTCCGGCCTGTTCGATTTCGTTCCGTTTTCTGAGCGCGTCCCGAGAACGGTACCCGAGTTAACCCCTCAACTTGATTATTTAGTTCGTGTTAATGTGTTAGTACTCGTATGTGTGCTACGTTGCTGATCGTACGATATTCGAATTAATTACGTGCGTTCGGAATACTTTCGTGTGTAATTAGGATATATTGTTAATATTGGGTATCAAAGTGATTGCCGTCACTTTGAAAATTATCGAACTGAGTTTCGAGTAGTATTTTATGTGGAAGTCTGTGGATTATTGGACTTAGGATCGTCCTTGACGCAACGCCTTTGGCCTCGCGTCGTTTCGATGTGTATTGAATTAGTTATGAATTTTTGAAAAACGTGCTGCTGCCGGTTTTTGTTAAAATCACTATAAATCGTGTGTTTATCCAAAAATTCTGATTTTTGGATATGTTGTAATGTTGCAATTGTAGCACTTGGGGTTAAAATTTGAGAATTTTATATGGCCTGTAGCCTTGTCAAAACTTGAAAACTAATTCTGGGCTGTTTCATAATAAATTCATATAAAATCGAGTTCCTGTCCGATTTTGATAATTTTTGAATATGTTGTTGTTCTCCAGTTTTTCGTTCTGCTGTAAAAATTTGAGATTTAAATTCGAGCTGTAGCTATTTTAAATGATTTA